CCGGCCACTGGGGCACGGGCCTGGGGCTGCATCTGGTCTGACACGTTTTTCCGTTAAAAGTATTTGCACAAGAGCGTGTCTACACTGGCATGTGCTTTTGCACAAGCGCATCCGTGCCAGTGTAGACGCTCTCTTGTGCAAGAAAGCTCCGATTAGCCATTTTAGCCATCCGGCTTTCTTGCGCAAGTAATTAACCGGGCTGTCTACGCTGGCCCTCTTGTGCAAGAACACTTGCACAAGAGGGCTTATCTCTGAGTATTTGCACAAGAACCACTGATTTTGTACATTACAAAGTCAGTGCTCTTGCGCAAATACTCGCGGCCGGTGTAAACAGGTGGCAAGATTTTGCGCAAAAGCAGTTGCTTTTGCACAAAATCATGCCAGTCTAGACGCAGCCTGGGAATTCTCACGGAAACGCCCACACAGGAGTAAATCGCACCCTGGCTGCAGCGCAGACATACCCTCGGGCTGTGTCTGCACTGGCGGGTTCTTGCGCAAAAGCAGCTGTTCTTGTGCAAAAACTTGCCGCCTGTCTACACTGGCTGCGTGTTTTTGCACAAGTAAACTGACATTCTAATGTATGAAATCAGGGCTTCTTGCACCAGAACTCTGATGCTCCCTGTCAGGAATAAGCCCTTTTGCACAACTGTTCTTGTGCAAGAGGCCAGTGTAGACAGGCAACATCAATTTCTTGAGCAAGAAAGCCCTATGGTTAAAACAGCCATCGGAGCTTTCTTGCGCAAGAGAGCGTCTACACTGGCATGGATGCTCTTGCGCAAAAGCTCATGCCAGTGTAGATGCTCTCTTCTGGAAGAGCTTTTGCCTGAGAATACGCCATCGTAGACGTAGACTCAGGCTGTGTCTGCACTGGCGAGTTCTTGCGCAAGAACAAGTCCACATTGCCATGTGCTTCTGCGCAAGAGCATTTATGGCAGTGTGAACGCTCTCTTGCGCAAGAAAGCTCCGATGGACTATCAGATCATTTGCGTGAAACCAATGTATGTGTGTGGGAAGACAGAGGGGAATCCAACTTCAATGTAAAAGGACACTTCAGTCCAATTTTATATCAACCAAGAGATTTAAAATACTTCCTTCTGATTAACAGGAAGAAGGCAAAAGAACCAGAGGTAGTTGAGACAGCTGTTGAAGTGAAAGAGGAACCTGTCTTGGTGTGTCCCCCTCCACGAAGTAGGAAGTACCTTCCCCCGGAGGACATCCAGAGTCGTCTTGAATCTCATGTCAGGGAGATTTTTGGACCCTCACTCTCTGAGGACTGGCAAAAGGCTTCACTAAAAGAAAGCAAGTTAAAATATCGCCTCTTGGCACAACTGGCAGCAGAACTAGGTCATGCGGTCCCTAATTCTCGGCTCCACCAGATGTGCACTGCTGGGGATGTGTTAGCTTTCTACAGCACCCAGGTCAAAGATGCCTCAAAATTTGATGAGCTGTGCACTGCAGAGTTACCCCCAAACCTAAAGATTATATGGAAATACTGAATTATGCCAAGTAAGAGGGATGACTTCTGGGATGATGTCCAGAAAAGATTCATCATAGAGATGGTTTAAATATATGCTCCATTGGGAGTTCACTTAAATGTCTTCAGATTTCAAGGACGTTACTTCAGAAAAAACTTTTGTTGTGATGCACCAGGGATAGCGTGGTCAATAAAGAGAACATCTGTATCCTCCTGTTTCAAGCCATGCCCCTTGTGTAAAGGTACTGCTACACTGCAAAAATCAACAAAACAGCACATTTCAGAGCCTGAGACAACTGACTCAGTATTGCACTTAGAGGCTAAAGAATAGTGTAGATTAGTGATGTAAAAGCCTAACCGTTCTGGTTAACTGGTAGGGGCTACAGCAGCTCCCTACTCACCCTGGGGCAGGGGATTGCATACAGCCTGCCAGAGCAGCCCCTGTCTGTAGCAGGTCTCCTTGCCCTCATTGCAGGTTACACACTGGTTTCTTGGGAGCTGACTGCAGAGAAGCCACCCTGGGAGGAGGGTCAGCAGCAGCCCTTGTTTAAGCTTTGTACTGCAGAGCTCATAGTGCATGTAACTGCTATGATTTTTAGTGGTTATAGGGTTACATTTTGAACTGAATTTTTACATCTGTAGTGTAGGTAGTTCCACTCCAGCTAGTGGTGGGGGAGGGTCTCCGAGCCAGGGATTCTTCCTCCCGGCAGCAACATCTTTATTGCTAATTTTTAGCCCAGTAGTGTGATCCTGATTCTGTTCAGACTCAAGACTTATTGCTGTAGGTCTCTTGCAGCATAGTCCTCTGTAGTGAGTGATAACGATTAGTGAGGAAAAATAAATGGCACTGCTCCTTGCATATGAAAGTGTGGCCAAACTCTGGCCTTGGCCTCCGTTTCAGTGCATCCTTGCAAGGGTGGAACTAGGGGTCAAAGAACCTAAATTTCTTAAAGGTACTGTCCTATTGCAACCTGGGTCCCTGACAGCTCTTTAAATAGCTCCCCAACTGGCTTTTGCCAGAACTGTGCACCGGGACACACCCCTTACTTTCACCTCTGGGTGGAACCATCACATTGTGGAGGAGAGAGGGGAAAAGGGCCCTCCCCCTCTCGCCCGTGTATTATATAACAGTCAGCCTTTTCTGGATGGGTACTTTCACCTCTGGGTGGAACCATCACGTTGTGGAGGAGAGAGGGGAAAATGGCCCTCTCCCTCTCTCCTGTGTATTTTATAACAGTCAGCCTTTTCTGGATGGTGTAGAAATATAGATCCTATCAGCAATAACACAAATCAAAAGCAATTCCAGTGCAGTTAATCAATTAGGTGTTGGGTTTACAGATTACAAACTGGCTGTGTTTGAAGAAACTTATGTGACTGTAGTACAATGAGCTCTAGGCTAACTTAAAACAATCATTGTCTTAAATTAACTTTTTCAGGTTTGACAAACCCAGGATAGCTATTACATTTCTAGAAAAGGACCCCCACCAGATACTAGGAAACTGAGTTCTGCTCATCCCTTCAGGCGTTGCTTACTAAGTTTTCACTGTTCATACATTTTCCTTCCCACACAATGCATGTGCATCTTTGTTCAGTTAGTGAACAAGGGTAGACAGTTGCGATTTCACATACATACTTATCAATGATGTGTGAAACAAATGTAAAAAGTGACAAACTGTGGAAATTTACTAGTATTGATTATATGTGACCGTTCTGTCTTTCACAGGGTTAAGTGCCATGGGTGGGGGGGTGTGAGCATGGGTTTGAGGGAGCTTATCTACACCGTCACATATAGTAAGCCTGGGTAGATTCCTTTGGTTAGGGGCATTTACAATAATCTGTATTAACACGTAATGTTGCATTGTGGAACAGGCATAGTACAACTAGGATTGTATCGCTAAGCAGACCGTTTCATAGTCTACATTTGGCACGCCTGCTCTAGAAGGATTTTTTTTAACTTGAGTGCAAACAGCATACGTTTTGGAATAGAGAAGAGGCCATCTCCTTTCATTGGGCAGAACTAGAGATTATGTGCTACTGCAGTTATTTTCCTTCTTTAATAAAGTAGTATCAGAGCTGTCACTTTTCCATCCCAATGCCTAAAAAATTTCTTAGGGAGCTCATACTCCCATGCATCCTGCCTTCTGATTCTAGTAGAGGGGAAGATTTGCATCAAAGTGATTCTTTTAGTTATAGTTTAGAATGAAGCTTTAGTTAGAAACAACGTTACATGATGGTAGCTAGGTATGTGGGTAGGCTGGGAGAAGGGTGTAAAATATTTAACTCACCATAGGCATGTTACTTTGTGGCTGGGCATGGAATAGCAGGTTCTCCTCTAGCATTCTCTGTTGACAATCACTCTGGGCCTTGCAGGAGTCTTCCCTCAGTTCTCTGGCCAGATCACAGCCCTACCCCTTCTAGGAAGTCCTTCTACTCTGCTACCCTCAATTCAGAGCTGTGATGTGTTCACCCTTTACTCAGGGTATGATACTCAGTATCACTTTAGGGCATTGTTTCTCAAACTGTGGGTCCCGACCAATTTAGAGAGGGGTTGTGGTATCACAAAGTTTGAGAACCTCTGCCTTAGAGATTTCACACCTCGGTGAATCTAGGCTTAGTTCTGAGACCACAGGCAGGCAGTTATCGTTCACCAGACTCTTGTTGCTAATCCCTGCACTTCTTCCTATTAAGCCTTTCTCTGGGCTTTTTCCTCACCCTGCCATGAGTTTTCCTAATCTCTCTCTTCCCAGCCTACATCTATAACAGTGATTGCAGAATTTCACCCTCTACCCTTTTCGGTGACAAACTTCTTGTGTTGATGGCACGCACACAGCTCCTTCCCATCTTAGCTTCATTTTTAATTAGGCCTGCTCTAACCTGCAGGTGCAACCAGATGAGTTAATTGGCCAGTCAGGCCCACATTAACCCTTTCTGAACCAGAAGAGGCTACACACTGCATCACATGTAGAAGAGGACTCAGCACAAGCACGCTTCAAGAGATTCCTGTGTTAAAGAATTGCAAATGCATCCTCACATAAACGATGAACAATCTTCATTGATAATGCAAACATTCTGCCTGTCGGCACACAGCATGGTATGTGTATACAGAAGGCATGTAACAAATCCAAAATATATAAATCTTCCCATAATTTGTGGGAGCCAGGAAATGGTTGTGGCTGATGTGACTAAACAATTTCTGTGTGTATAAGAGGTTCTAAATACTGGCCACTCAGCAGTGGCTTGGATAAGTCGTATATGCAAGTACCCTGCAAACATGATTGGAATGTACAGTGACCAAATCCCCTAGGATTTCTCATATTTTTAAGGAGTGCCTCAGTTTCAGGGACCCAGCCTAATATACAGGGCTCGACAATTAATGTAATCTACTCGCCTGTGGCGAGTAGATTTTAGCCTGGGGCAGCCACGCAGCGTGGTCTGTGCATGTGCAGCGTAAGGTTGCGTGCGGCTGGCGAGCAGGGCTCACCGCCACTTGGCGAGCCCTGCTAATATACATAATGATGGCAAAAGGAAACCCATCCAGAATCATACTCTCACAAAATGCTCTAGAGATCTTGAATGATTACACCAAGTGGATAGAATCTGGGTTTTAAACCAAAGTACCTGAGGGTCTTTGTCCTAGTGATCCATGGACAGAAAACTGGAGTTCAGTTATCTACCATGGCAGGATCAGGCTCAGGTGAGGCATATTTTTGGTGCTCCCTTTTCCATGTATTAAACTTTTGAATACCTTGCTTTTTATTGCATTTGTAGCCCATTTCATGCACAATTTTCATGCATGATTTATCTCCTACAGTGGTCCCCAACCTTTTGGGACTGCTGGGTGCCCGGGGGCGGGGCCACACATGTGCCGCACGTCCAGGGTGGGGGCTGCGCATGCACCTGGGGCCTGGGGAGCAAGAATGACTTGGGCCGGCCCTGGTCACTAGGTTGGCGCACATAAATGCCCCGGTGGGCGCCATGGCACCCGCGGGCACCGCGTTGGGGACTACTGCTCTCATATAAGGCAAACCATAATCAGTGAAATAAGCAAATAAAACTTTTTGTGTCTTCTAATCTAGAAAAATTATAATTTTAAGAATAATTGAAATGTACTAACACCAAGAAACAGATCTGCACCATCATTGGGTGGACCATTATTAAGTAGCATTACAGTAGGTGACAGCCTTAGAATGGTAACTCTAGTCCTTTGTTCAGAAAATTGCTTTTCCCATCTTTGTTGCCTGTGAATGGAAGTACAGTATCAGCGAGCCAAAGACTGGCCAGTTCATTTCCTCTAAGCTCACAGAAACATTCTAGGAAGTCAGTGGAAAATGAATCCACATACAAACTAGCTTAAACATTTTACTTCCAACAGTCGATTTTTGCTTTTTGTTGCTAACAACACAAACTGCAGCCCAGATCCCAGGTTCAGTGTTTCCCAAAGCCTGCACCCCAGGGCTCGCCTGGGTCACTTGTCTCTAAATCCAGCTTGGGATGAGTCAGGCTTGCTGATGGGGAGTGGGGATGGGGGTGGGAAGGAGGTGTGGTAAAGGGGATAACTACCCCAGAGTCCAATGATTCTCTAAAGGGCCCAGGGCTTCTGTTGCTACTGCCATGCTCCTGGAACCCCAAGCCCTATAAATTACGGCTGAGCTACGTCTATACTGACATGATTTTCCGGAAATGCTTTTAACAGAAAAGTTTTCCATTAAAAGCATTTTCGGAAAAATCGCGTCTAGATTGGCAGGATGCTTTTCCACAAAAGCACTTTTTGCGGAAAAGCGTCCATGGCCAATCTAGACGCAGTTTTCCGCAAAAAAGCCCTGATTGCCATTTTCGCGATCGGGGATTTTTTGCGGATAACAGCACTGTGCTGTTTACACTGGCCCTCTTGCGCAAATGATTTGCGCAAGAGGGCTTTTGCCCGAACGGGATCAGCACAGTATTTCCGCAAGAACACTGACGATCTTACATGAGATCATCAGTGTTCCTGTGGAAATTCAAGCAGCCAGTGTAGACAGCTGGCAAGTTTTTCCGCAAAATCAGATGATTTTGTGGAAAAACTTGCCAGTCTAGACACAGCCCTGGAGTGCTGCATGGTGTGCTCCAGGTGGCTCTTAGGGCAGTGGGGGCACTGTACAGCATACTCCAGGCAGTGCTGGGGGGAAGCAAAGTGTCTCAGTCTGGGTAGTGCTGGGGACTGGGGTGTTCTGGATGGTGTTTGGGGCTGGCTGCCCTTGCCCTTCTAGGCGTGCGGTATTGGGGACTGGGGTGTTCTGGATGGTGTTCGGGGCTGGCTGCCCTTGCCCTTCTAGGAGTGCGGTGTGCACCCCCCTCCACCCACACATACTCATATTCGCCTTGCCCTGGCTGTTTGTTTCCCTGGGCTGAGTTGACCCTTTTGAAATCTGAAGGTTTGTTTGGAGTGAGTTGAGAAATTTCAAACCTAATATTTACCCGCTATGTTATCCCCTCCAGCTCAATGAGCGGATGGACTGACAGATACACACATGCACTCTTCGAGATGTTTCACTAGCATTGTGAAAGGTGCCACTATAATGAGGAGCTATCTGCGGGTTTTTGGTGAAAAGACGGGAAAATATTTTTTTTTAATTTAAATTGGATTTTTGATGTTATTTAAATTACACGTTTTTCTTTTAAAAAACCTTTTTAAAGTGAGTCCTGAATTTAATGTAAAATATATTAAGGCCTAAATTTATTATAATCTCTTAAACCTTTTAAATTAAAATGGTTGGATCTGATGATCTCGAGGTCCCTTCCAATTCTAGTGTTGTATGATTCTATGGAAATATGCTGACTCTATGAGCCCATATCAAGATCTTGGAGCAAAAGGCTGCTTTTCTATATAACAGAAGACTCGGGCTGCAAATAGCTAACTTTTGAGGTCAAGCTTTATAAACACAACACACTAGGTCAAGGCCCATATTAAGGATTTGATCCTGTGAGGTAATTGGGCACAAGAGACTGGCAAATTCATCACAGGCATTGGGACTTGGCCTCAGAAACCAATATATGTGTCTCAGGTGCCTCCACTGAACCCAAACTGGGTGAGCTCATCATATTCCTATTTTTTAGCCACTCCCTGTCTGAGCTACGATTGGCCCACTTCTCAAATTATGATACTAATGACTCCATCTATCCATCTCCACGAATACTTATGACTGCTTCTAACAACGCACACTTAATAGGAATCTGAAAATATTAAGCTACACAATGACTTAAATGTATATGGTTGTAGTACACCCTTTAAATAGCAAAACCATGTACCATTAAAAGCCAATACATTTGCACATTAGAATCAGTAAACCTGTATTTATTCCTGTCACATTTTAGACTCATAGGCTACGTCGAGACTGGCATGATTTTGCGGAAATACTTTTAACGGAAAAGATTTTCCGTTAAAAGTATTTCCACAAAAGAGCGTCTAGATTGGGAAGGATGCTTTTGTGCAAAAAGTGCTTTTGCGCAAAAGCATCCGTGGCCAGTCTAGACGCAATTTTGCGCAAGAAAGCCCCGACGCCATTTTAGCCATTGGGGCTTTTTTGTGTAAAACAATTCTTCCCTGTCCACAAGAGCCCGGCGTGGAGGAGTCCTTTGGCTAGCTGCACAACACACTCACCAGCCCGAGACAAAGGGAGGCTGTGTCATGTCAAAGTCAGACAGGACTCACAGATTTGTCAGACCTCTCTGTTTATTAGCAAAGCCGCTCTGCTAAATGCACCCAGAAAATGTGAGTGCCATATAAGTTTCAAACCCCTTGATTTATACAGTCAAAAGAAAGCCAAAATTAACAGGATTAAAAGAGGGGCAAAACTTCACATAATTAGTGCGAGGCTAGTCAAAGATCTTCATTTCCACATCAAGCACACAGCAATCTCCTGTCCATATCTCCTTGGTTATCTCAATTGCTTTCTCCCTAACACCTAATGTTCCTTTTCCTATTAACTCTGGCTAGCACTCTGATCTGCATACCTACAAACAACATTAACATACTTTTCTTCTTCCTGTTCAGAGACAAACAGTATTCCTTCAACTTATTCAATTATTACAGCATAATTCTTTCTACTTTCACAATTACAAATCAGTGCTCTTGCACAAATTCAAGCGGCCAGTGTAGACAGCTGGCAAGTTTTTGCGCAAAATCCTGCCAGTCTAGACGCACCCATAGACTTTAAGGTCAGAAGGGACCATTATGATCATCTAGTCTGACCCCCTTCACAGTGCAGGCCACAGAATCTCACCCACCCACTCCTGGAATAATCCTCTCACTTATATCTCAGATATTGAAGTCCTCAAATGGTTTAAAGACCCCAAGATGCAGAGAATCCTCCGGCAAGTGATCCATGCTCCCTGTGACAGAGGAAGGCGAAAAACCTCCAGGGCCTCTGCCAATCTACCCTGGAGGAAAATTCCTTCCCGACCCCAAATATGGCGACCAGCTGAACCCTGAGCATGTGGGCAAGACTCACCAGCCAGACACCCAGGAGAAAGTTCTCTATAGTAACTCCTATCATCCCTCCATTGGCCTATTTACCACTGATAGTGAAAGGTCATTTATTTAGTTATTGAAAATATTTTTACCCCAGCTCTCTATTTTAAATATTCTAGGTGGCTTACAAAAATTTTAAAACACTGGATTAGATAGATAGATAGATAGATAGATAGATAGATACAGGACACCAAAGGGGGAGGGACATAAAATCAAGAGGAGGGACATATATATATATTTAACCAAATCCACCAACATGGTGAATGTTCTTTAGCAAACAACTGAAGTACAGCTGTAGCAACAGATTAAAAGTCAGGGGTTTCTGCCCAAGGATTTAACACCCTGCTTGTGCAGGACTCTCCCAGCAGTGCTGACTCAAATTAACGCAGCTTTTGCAGCAGTCTGAAGAGTGAGAGCTCATTCCCAGAGCATGTCCTAAGAGAGACCCAGGAAATAAGCCCTTACACTCACACAGCAAGGAAAGGGTTACAGAGCTCAACTTTTGCAACCCGCTTGCCTAATGATTGTCATTGGCCGTCTCCTCTTACAGAAAGGGTCAGAGAAGGGGAGGACAGGCAGTAAACAGAGGGAGGAGGAAAGAGGACGGATTAGGAAAGAGATGGGCAGGGGAGGAGACAGGCTGCCCGGGAATCTATTGGTCCACCCAGCCTCTCCCCTTGTAATTTAGAAGCAGCCCCTTTGTATAGGGATCCGAGTAGAATTCAACCAAACTGGGACTTCTCAGGAGTGAAGCCCTTCCTGCAGGGTTAGCTCTCAAGGTGTTTTCACAGGAGCAGGGCAGGAAGCAATAGGAAAGCTAACTGGGGCTAATTTGCAAGGAGACAGGCTTAGTCTTGGGAACAGAGGCGTTACAGCCATTTGTGAAGATTGCAGAGTGCAGGTAAGAACTGGGCTCCAAGGCTACTGCAAATCGGCTGAGCACCGGGGTGCTAAGGGTGTGAAAAGCTAGGTGTACGCCTAAAGCTGCAGCCAGGTGCTTAGGAGCTTTTGAAAATCGCACAAAGTGCCTGACTCCTATTGCTTTCAGTGAAGTTGCATCATGATTCAGTTGGGGTTGGTCCTGCTTTGGGCAGGGGGTTGGACTCGATGACCTCCTGAGGTCTCTTCCAGCCCTTGGATTCGATGATCATGTGCCTAAATACTTACAAAAATTGTTCAGAAGTTTGCAGGGAGTTTCCCTTCCTTTGTTGCTTCCCAAGCCTGCAGAGGGGAAGAAAAAGGAGGGTGAAGCCTTTCTATTAAAATATTCGAGGTGGCTTATAAAATGTTGTAAACACTGGAATATATATAAGCTGTGACAGGCGCTTACTGTGCTTAGTGTGGGGATGAAGGTAGGTGTGTGAATCTACTTGGAATCAGAGATGGGCAGTGTTCCCTGTAAGTTGTGAGCTTGTTCAGCCCCGCAAGAGAGTTCAAAATGCTGCCCAGCTAATTTGCAAAGCACCTACAACTAGATTTTTTGTTTCTGCTGGTGGTGCACATTCACACATGCTTTGGTGCACACAAACAAACTTATTCGCACACATAAGAAAAAGATGAGGGAACATTGCTCACGGGGTGTCTTTATGAGTGTGTCTGTTAGCAAAAAATGAAGGTAGAACTCCCCTGTGTACAGCCAACGCATACTTAGCTAAGGGCAAAGTCCCACTTTTCCCAAAACAAGCCATTCCAGCCTCACTAACACCAGGAGTGGATCTAGGAAGCAATCCTATCCTGGAACTTGGAAGTAACCCTGGCTCTGAGCCTGACTTCTTGAGTGGTTTTAAGCATGTCACGAGTGCTTTGTGCCTCACATGTAAGTCCAACCGTAGCACTGGACATATTAATTTCTGCTCCGGTATGTGGACTTGGAAGACCAACAAGTGTTTCTAGAGCATGGCAGTGCATGCTGGCAGAGTTGGTCTGGCCTCTGCACCTCTAGTACTATAGTGAACACCAGCTTGGACTGATTTAAATCAAGGCAATGTAAATAACCAGGAAAAAAATCTTTGATATAAATCAAGTTTCCCACAGATACTTCTTCACATTTCTTAAACAATGGTGCAAATCGGGTCACTTAACCATGTGAATTTACAACTCAGGACACTTATAGGGGAGTATACTTTGTGCAATTCTTTTAGATAACTTGATTTGTATTCTGTTACGGAATAGAACACAATACTCATTACCTATGTCAAGGGGAGATGCAGCAGCAATACATTAGGAATGGTAAGAACCAAACCCACCAACTGGGTGGAAAAAGGGGCAATTGCCCCGGGGCCCGGTGATACTAAGGAGCCCAGAGAGCCCAGCCATCTTACTACTGCAGCAGCAGTGGAGGCCAGATCCCTAGCTCCCTTTGAATTGCTGAGGGCTTGGGGGGAGAAGGATGCATGCCGTGGTCTGGGCAGCGCTGAGGTCTGGCTGCCCTGGCTCCACCCTGTCCAACAGGAGCCCCACCTCTTCTGGGGCTCGGAGCCTAGGCCCAACCCAGACCAGGGTGCACAGTGACTGTTGGCCCATCTGGTAAGAACAAAATCACACACACAACACAATAGTACTTATATTTATTCCACTAAATCTTGAATGTTACATAACTAGTTCGCATTTGCAAGTGCAGCACTCTCTTGAGATGCCCTCTGATGGCTGTCCTGACACGCTTTTTTTAAATTTTCAAATTTTATTAACTGAAGCAGACTAGACTTGAGAAAACAAAATATACCGTGTTCTTGAAACTTCTACAACTAGCACTCTTCTTCCCCACTCCCATTCTCATTTTGATTCATAGACAGAAAACAACGTGTATTTCTGTTTCAGTTGTTTTTTTTTCAACTCAACTGTTTCTTACCTTTGAGTGAATACCACCAAAGGAGGACAATGTTCTCTCTGTGTCTGCAGAGGAAGCTACTGCTACGACAAGTTGGCTGAGTGACTGAAGGAACTGTGTTTCAATGTGATTGGCTAATGATACCCACCAACTCACGGGAGTGACTTAGTTCAAAACATCATCATCAATAACCATTCACTGATTATAGGGTTTCATGCCAGCTCTTAAATTTATTCCGACTGGCACAACTGTAGCGTGATGGCGGCAGCAGCATCTTCAGAACTTAGGCATCTTACCTTTTATCTGGGGTTAAGAATGCTCTCAAGAAAATGAGGTGGAGTTAGTGTTTGATCCATTTGTTTCTTTATTGTCTGTAGTTTAACTTTCTGGTGAGGTGTTTCTTTCATCAATGTGCCTTCCAAATTTCAATGGTATCAGCAATTTCTCTAAAGTTTAAGGCTTTGGATAATAGGTTTCTCTATACTGAGCATGTCTCTACATCAGCGGTTTTCAATCTTTTTTTTTTCTCACGACTGTGCACTTAATTCTGGAGTAAGCTCCATTGAATTCACGGGCATGTCTATTTTTTGACATAAGTATAGAATGGAGTTCCTTTGGGAAAGCTGAGTTAAGCAGAAGTAAAATAGGGAATAGATTTATGGCATCACCATTATGGTCTGTGACTATGATGTTTCAAAATAAAGGGCATGTGGTATGTAAAATGAAATAAGAAAGTGACACTCTGTAGCAGCTAGCAACTCTAGATTTCTCTCCCTGCAGCTTTCTATACTGCAGACTTGGGTGACAGTTCACTAGGTTTAGAATCTAATTAAACAAGCCAGGAGGAATAGCCAAGCTAAAGTAACACTCAACATAGCAAACAGCTTGGGAGTTTCCATGTTAAATCACACTTAGTTTAAAAGAGAGTCTTGAGGAATGATGTGAATTGAGTTACTACCCAGTTGATCCACATTGTTCTTCAGCCAGATCCACATCTTTATCCGCATCATTTTCTCTCTCAAAGCAGTTTTCCTTATGGTGTTTGAATTGCCGGGCACTGGGGGAGTTGCTTTTTCTGCCCCTCCCTGCCCGTCGGTGGGCCTGCTGGGCGTGGAGGGGCAGTAAGAACGACTCCAAGCAGAGAACTGGCAGATGAGCCCCTGGTTGTAGGATCGACAATCCCTGTGGGCTCCAGGCATCCTAATCCCCACAGTCAGGTGAGCTGTTCTGTCGCTTTTCATGAGTTCCTCTGAGCCGTGCACTTCCCTCAGGCCTTTGACTCAGTGACGCCTTGATGGCTGCTGCTGAAACCTGCTAGTCCTCCACGTGGCCACATGCAGAAAGGCTTCTCAATGGTGCGCCATTGTGACTGCGTTTGCTGTGAGCAAGCCTAAGGATTAGCAAGCAATCGTCTGCATGGCCTGACTTCATGGCAATTTTCCACACTCCTTTCCTATTCAGCACACTGCACTTTAACCGATCGGGATTCCTAATTTCATCCTCGCATCTCTCCTTGTTTCCCAGGTCCCGGTGGGCAATCGGCAGCCCCTGCTTTCACAATGGTCAGGCTCACAGTCACCCCGAAGGTATCTCTTGCTGATGAGCCGCTGAAAATCCAGGTCTCTGGCTTGCCCCCCTCCCAGCTGGTGACTCTCCAAGCCTCTTTGACGGATGAGAAAGGGGTGTTCTTCTACTCCCGAGCCCTCTACTGGTCAGACAAGGCAGGCGAGGTGGACCTGGAGCGGGCTGCTGCCACAGGAGGGGACTATGCTGGTGTACAGCCCATGGGTCTGTTCCACGTTCTGAAGCCGGAAAAGCCGTTCTATAGGCTGATGAAGCGGGACGTGATGCAGAGTCCCTTCCAGATCCGCCTGGACTTGTTCGACTCCAATCACCTGTTTTCCTCACCCCACGATCAGCCTGTGGCCAGCCAGACTGTGGACAGATGGTACGTGGCACCCGGAGTACAACGGGTCCAGATCAGGGGAAACAGAGTCCGGGGAGCCCTCTTCCTCCCTCCAGGTAAGAGAGTCCCCATCTTCTCAGGTCTAGAGCTGAGTGAAGGAGTGATCAGGAATGACTTTATTCAGCAAACTGTGCTCTTTCTGGTCACGAATGGTCTACCAGCTGATTGCAATTTTCTCCCAGGTCTTTGTCAAATCATTTCTGTGAAGAATTCCTGGCCTGAAGACTGTCCACAAACAGTTTGTTGCGAGTTTGGCAAAAATCAGAGCTACCTTGGTTAGGTTACTTGGTCTTGTGGGGGTGATTCTGCTTCCTGACTGGATGAGCATGATTTTCAGGATTAGGTTTCCACTGAAAATATTTCTATTGATGAGTTCAGAATCACTTTCAGGACCTCTCCTTGGCTACGTCTACACTGGCATGATTTTCCGAAAATGCTTTTAATGAAAAAGTTTTCAGTTAAAAGTATTTTTGGAAAAGTGCGTCTAGATTGGCAGGACGCTTTTCCGCAAAAGCACTTTTTGCGGAAAAGCGTCCATGGCCAATCTAGACGTGCTTTTCCGCAAAAAAGCCCCGATCGCCATTTTTGCTATCGGGGCTTTTTTGCGGAAAACAGTACTATGCTGTCTACACTGGCCCTTTTGCACAAAAGTCTTTCGGAAAAAGACTTTTGCCCAAACGGGAGCAGCATAGTATTTCCAGAAAAGCACTGATGATCTTACATGAGATCATCAGTGCTTTTCCGTAAATTCAAGCGGCCAGTGTAGACAGCTGGCAAGTTTTTCCGCAAAAGCAGATGATTTTGCAGAAAAACTTGCCAGTCTAGACACAGCCCTTGAGTATTGGCTGATAATTTGCTGTTTCCACAAACTTTCCTGAAAGTAAGCTAAAAAAGCCAGGTTAACAAGGGCAGAATGACTCACAAACAGCAAAGCACATTCATTCAGAAAACTAGGGGGGATGTAAGGGACTTACCCGATAAGCAGAAGCTGATCGAATAGTCGACTAGTGATGCCACTACTCGCTTCCCCCTCCCTCTGTCTTCAGCATGGTCTCTGTGGCGGGCAGGGGGGCTACGTGGGGGGGCTTATGCTGCTTCCGCTGCAATTCTACTTTTGAAACGTACAAGAGCCCCAGGGCTCTTTGAAATAGACAAGGCTCAGATGCCGCAGGGAGCCCCTGCTGGTCCCACACTCCCTGTGGGCCTTCCTTCTGAAATGTACAAGAGCCCCAGTGGGGCTCTTGTGCATTTCAAAGGCTGAGGCACTACAGGAAGTACGGTGCCAGCGGGGGAGTCCCTCACTGGTCCCACGCTCGCCTTTGCTTTTGAAATGTACAAGAGCTTCACTGAGGTTCTTTTACATTTGAACCGTGGAGATTAATTGAATAGTTGATGGAAATCCCATAGACTATTTGATTAATTAATCTAAATTTAACATCCCTACAAAAATATGGATGAATATTTCCTTGGTATTTACATCCACTTCCTTTCCTTTCTATCTATCTCCATCTTCTCTCCTTTGCCCTCCACTTCTTTCTCACCTGCCACATCCTTCTACACAAGGTACAAGACCCAATTCCTAGGAGCAGCTATGCAGAGCTTTCTTCGTTTTTGTAGCCAAACTTTCTGCGTGCAGACTGGAGACCCCCACATCTGTTACACTGCCCACGTGGAAAAGCAACCATTTGTACCTGCCTGCCTCCATGTTTTCACGTGTGCTGAGTAGAGAGGTGGGGTGGTTGTGAAGTGCAGAATCTCCAAACTGTATGAGTCAGCTCGCTACTGGGTCATTATTACATTTGCGGTCTAAAATTCCTACCGCTTCGTCTAGGGAATCTCAGCTATCCAGTTAAGGCTCTTCTCTTTCAAAGGTCTAACCTCGAACATTTCAGGTGGGCAAGTTCTTTCCATATAACTAATCAAATTCAGGATGTTCCTCAGTGTTTCCCCCATTCTGTCCAACATTTCTCCCTAGTATATATAACCTGTTCAGAGAGCCCCACTTTTTAACGTGTAAATTCTTTGGGCAAACTGTTTCTAGCTGTGTGTTTATGGCTTTGTCCAGGACCTAGCATGAGGTCAGTATTGACCTGATGAGATTATCTGAGTATTGTTGTGACATAATTAATACATCTGTTATTATAGTCTTAGGCCACGTCTTCACTCCTCAGAAGATCGACGCTGCCATGATCCATCTTCCAGAGTTCGATTAGTGAGTCTAGTTAAGACTCGCTCAATCAAACTCAGAGTGCCACCACCAGCATCCAGTACTCCTGCTCTTGCAAGGAGTAAGGGAAGCCTGCAGGAGTGTTTGATTCCATTGGCCTCCCACTATGGGAATGCTGCCAAGGCTGGCTTAAGGTAAGCCAACTCTAGCTATGTACCGAAAGCTGAGCTACCAGGTCTAGCGTAGACCTGGCCTTAGATGATATGATCTAGTCACAGATTAAGTGGCCCTCATTTATTTACAACTGAAAAATGCCTCCATAGGAGTTCAATAATTGGGCAGTTCTTGGAATGCACAACATGGTCTCCTCCAGCTGTAAAACCTTTTTGGAGGAGAAGACTATAGTAAATAGGAAAAAAAAGACTGAAATTTAGAATGGTTTGCTGTCTAAGTTCAATAAGGGTCAAACACAGCTGAAAGAGCTGCTAACAGAGATTCCATGAATTGTTTTTTATCTATGGGCAAACAGGGATCTAGACTGGATTGACACAATATTATGAAAATTTAAAATAATTCCTTAATATTTGAAGAACTGATATAATCTAGTTAGGGATTTGGGATGGTTACATCCAGATTGGCATGGAGCAGTGAGTTGAGAAACAAAACAGCTACCAGCGGAGGCTATTCTGTTGCGTACGTTCCTATGCTCTGACCCCAAAGAACCCTGTTTAGAGCCATTTGGATCCTCCAGTGGCCTGGGGCATCAGCCTCCGGAGCACAGGGTGGCGAGTTCAGGTCCCACCTACCCTGGGAGCAGCCGGGTTGTCAACACTGACTGCCCCTGGCACCCGCTGAAGGAACGAAGTTGACACTTTGTTGGGGCACTTGGAACTGCAAGCCACTGTGTCACATCCTGCTGCCTGGAGCTTAAAACTCTGTGGCAGCAGCCTGCCACACCTTAGCAGTCCACCTCACTAGCAAGGCCTGGAGTCTTTGCGAGGCTACACCTCACTTTGCAGGGAACATTGGGCGAACCCCAGTTCCTGAGGTCCCCAGAGACCTTGCCCATCTCATAGAAACTCACATTAAGCCTGCCATCTCCAAAGAGATACTCCACTCCCTGGCCTGCTAGCCCAGCTGAAGGAGGTTTTCACTATCATAGCACTGAGATGCTTTATAGTGTGAGTAAGCATCTCTCTGAGAAGAAAGATGTAAGTGACACCAAACAAAAATAATAATAAACGCAAGGTTACCAACAAATTACAATAAAACAGGCTTTCTAGTGCCTGAACTTAACTTTAGCAAGCAACAGTGTTGGCCTAACAGCTTTCTCACCTCTATTCCAGTGTGTGGATCAAAGCGTGACCACCTAAGTGATGGATAATTAGGGCCTCTCTCCCATTCTTCTTGCAGTCGGGGGGAAGCTTTCCAATGCATTCCTGTGCGTGTTTCCAGAGCAAGTGCTTCCTCTCTTGCTTGTTCCTGGGAACTTTTTTCATCCTCTTCTTAATTAGCTCCATTGGACCGATTGTTTACTTTAAATGCAAGTCTACTTTCAGTGACTCTGCCATAGGAAGCTCGTCCCAGGCAGACGCAAATCCCGGTCTCTTTGTTTGGCACAAACCTGTTTGTTTATATGAAAACCTTACTTAATACTTTACATTCAAATGCTTTATCTATTTTTTTGTATCTTTAATAACATATTTAAAAGATTAATCACAGTGTATTTGCCATGGTACTAAACAGGCTGAAACTCTGTATAACAAAGCCCAACCTTGTTTAAAATAGTTTAATGTTGGATGTAGAGGCGATAGAGAGTGAGGGGGGGGGGGGGGGGGGGGGGAGGGAAAAAATGGAAGGGGGCAGGAAACAAGGAGAAGAGGGTATGAAAATATCAGCCTGACTTGGATTGCTTGTTCATATACCTTGTAAGACCCTGCTTGGACAGCTTTTCTGACAGCCCTGTGTTGTGGGTAGTGTGTGTGTGTCAGATTTGTGGGGATTTATTTTTACACGCCCCTGGGCAAGCTGCGCCAGTCGGGGTAAAGAGGCTCTTGGGGCGCACTAGCTCACCTGGGCACCACACCACAGCAGCACTAGGGCAGTTGTCCTAGAGTTCTAGACGATTCCTCTGCAGATACCGTTCCCAGGAGTAGGCGATGAGAGGTAAGAACGGGAAAGGCTGGGTTCTGTAGCTAGAACAGGCAACAATTCCTGTTCTAACTATTTTGCCACTGAATCCATCCTTCTGTTTCTCTGGTTTTTCCCTCATTTTCTCTTCCTCAGGGGACGGTCCTTTTCCAGGGGTGATTGACCTGTTTGGTGGGATAGGGGGACTTATAGAATTCCGAGCCAGCCTCCTTGCCAGTCGGGGTTTTGTTGCACTCGCCCTCGCTTACTTCGCATATGAAGACCTGCCCAGCTGTCTTGATGAAGTGGATTTGGAATATTTTGAAGAAGCTGCCAACATACTCTTGGGACATCCAAAGGTACTTTCTGCTCCCAGATAAATTCTCTTATCTTTTCTCCTTAACGCACCCAGCGTCTGAAGAAAGCCAACACACCACAGTAGGCTTGTGTGTCTAAAGCTCTCACTACACTGCAAAAAACAAGAGTATTCTTAACTTGGGGTAACAAAGCCAGGTTACAACAGCAGTGAGGACACGGCAACGTGGCTTTTAAATCACGTTAGCAGCTCATGTTCAGCGCCGTTCTCCCTTCATAGGCTTTATCTTGAGCTACTAAGCTGACTCAAAGGCTGAATCGCTGCCCCGTCACTGCTGTTTTACCCTGAGTTAGCTAATGGTGGTGGTTACCTAACCTGAGATAAGAACAAGCTGCTGTTTTTTTTGCAGTGTAGACTTACTGAAATTACTACACAGGCCGTACTGCAACTCCCGGCTGTCCCCTGTCAGCAGGGCGTTCTTTCCCGCTCTCATGGCTGTAGAAGTGGCTTGAGGCCGGCTATGGCAGCTGGCGCCCCAGGCGGAAGGTGCGATCGGTGCCCCCGCCTGCATGGCCGTCAATAGCCGTGACGTATCATGGGTGCCCAGGCGCCCTGGGCCGGCGGCGCCCGAGGTGACCGCCGAGTGTGCCTATGCTCACGGGCTGCCCCTGCATGGCTGCCCACGTGGACAAAGGTGCTTAGGTACAAGTTTTGTTCTGCTGAGTTTGCTCAGTGAGGCGCTCCAGTCTCTCCAGGGTCTTCATCTTATCTTTGGCCATCTGCCTAGATCACCTTCTTCCCTGCTGTATGGAGTGGGAACCTCTTGGCTCTGTAGATAAACGAGCCCTGTGTTCAAAGAGGAACACACACCGTTTGAGTCTCACCCAGTGTTAGGCATTACAGCCTGTTATCGAGCAAGGCAATAGGCTCAAGATCCCAGTGGAAAATGCGATGGGATTTGTATGGGAGATGGCCTAGACAGGACCTCATTTCAATGTCTTCTGACTAAGTATATTAAGGACTAATTGACTATCCGATACCAGTTGATTTGCCCCCTCCCTTGCTGCCTCTAACAGAGGCAGCAAAGGGGGGGAGAAGGGGTACTTCAAAGCAGCAGCACCACATGGAGCTGACCCTGGGCTCCACAAGGCACTGCCCCTTTGAAATGCCGCCATGGCGTTTGCATGGAGCCTGGGGTCAGCTGAGGACTCCCCAGCTGATCCCAGGTTCCAGTGCAGTGCGCAGAGTTCCCAGCTGATCCTGGGTTCTGGGAAAATGCCAGAAAATGGAAAGGAAGAATGCAGAAGTGCCTATCGACTAGTCAATGGAAATACCATTGACTACTCGACTAGTAAATGACTCCATATTTAACATTCTTACTTCTGATGGACGATCGGTCTAGTGGTGCAAGCCCGTACTCTTCTCCCATATTGGTCAGCTGGGCTATCACCACTTGGTCATGCCCCCAGCCTGCCACCTCAGATGTCCACCCAACTATCAAAAAACATGTGTGTTACAGAGGTGGTGGTGGTAGGGAGAGCTAATTTCCAAGGTAATTATGACAACCATGTTGACGTGGGAAAGCATGGGGAGTGGTTATGTAGTTCTGGAATTGGAGCTAGCAAGATGGCCACTTGCAATTAATACTTATCATTGCACATTTAATTCAACTGCACAAATGCCACGAGTGCATGTAAAAAGCTGAATGTGTATCGACATATAACTGGGCATGTGCAAATACAGCCTTGATGTTAGCTCTGCATAACTGGAGGACACCACAGTGAATGTCTATCCTTCAAATGAATGTCTGTTGGATGCTTATGTTACCTTGACTTCCTAGAGCAGGTCTAGATCTTGGCGGTGGCCCCCTCTAAATACGCCTAGATAAGATGGTCCCTGTTGTGCCGCTGAACCAGAGAACTGGAATCTTTAAAGGAGGAACTCAGGCTGGACATGAATGTAACGTTTAATGTATTTTTTACGGTGTGTTTTCAGGTGGGCGGGGCAGGCGTTGGCGTGGTAGCAATCTGCAAAGGGGCTGAGATTGCTCTGGCAATGGCCACGTTCCTACCACAGATCACAGCCACTGTGTGCATTAACGGGACCAATGCCATGCACGGGACAGCGCTGCGCTACCGCCATCTCTACGTCAGCCCAATCCCTTACAGATTTGAGTGTGTCCAGATCACGGCCCTGGGGCTGCTCTCTCTCTACAGTGTCATTGGGGACACTCAAGCAGAGGCCAACCAAGGGAGCCTCATCCCTGTTGAAAAGGCCCTGGGGCAGATCCTCTTCGTCGTGGGTGAAAGTGACCAGAACTACAACAGCAAAGCCTTTGCCGAGGAAGCGATGGAGAGGATGGGGCAGCACGGGAGAAAGAACTGCACCCTGTTGTCTTATCCAGGCGCGGGGCACCTGATAGAGCCTCCTGGGTCCCCCTTCTGCTCCTGCTCGTGGAACCCCTTTTTCAGCTTGCCCTTGATGTGGGGAGGGGAAGCCCACGCCCATGCCGCAGCCCAGGAACATTCTTGGAGAGAGATCCAAAAATTCCTTTGGCACCACCTCTGCCACACAGGAAGCAGCAAACTCTGATAACAGGGAGGCCTGGAACCGAAAACGTTTGTGCCCTACGCCCTCCCCAGTTGATCAAGAACTATTGGAACAAGCTGTGAGCTCTGGGTATTAATGGGACAAGCTCCTAGTGGGGGAGGAGCCTTTCCAATCCCCGTGTCTATCATGGCTTGCGGGCCGCAGGCAGGAAACACAAGTGCACAGACAAGAATGATCGAGTTTCATACAAAGCAGATGTGTGCGGGAGGCCTGATTCAGCTCTCACTGACATCTGTGGGAAGTGGGTCAGGCCCCATGGGAGGGAGTCTGGTGGTGGCGTCTCTCTGCAGGGTTTTATGCGGAATGGTCCCCGTTTTGCTTCCCCGTAGTTCCAACCTGTGAGTTTTTGCCTCACGTGAACCCCAAAGTTTTAAGGGGAAAATACTGACATCGGGCAGGTCTACTGTGATGTGCATAGTTACAACTTGGCCAACCCAGCCTTGACCAGATTCATTTGAATCTTAGCTCTGATTTTCTTCCCTGCAGTGAAAAAAAGCTTCCCTAAAAAGTTGGCAGGATGATTTTTCTCTCTGACGTGCTGTTAAACCATTAAACTATGCCAGAATTCACCTCGACTGGGCCTTTGTCTATGCTAGGAGGGTTTGACTCCGGGCTGGCCCTACCATGAGGCGAACTGAGGCCGCCTCAGGTGCCAGACTGGGCGGGTGGGGGAAGGCCCCAGAGTGTAGAAAATTGTGTCTGCTGCTGGTGCATATGTAGGTAACAGAGCAGTACCAGGAGAGGAGTAGAACAGGAAGAAGGCAGAATTGAGACCTTTCAAAGTTTTGGCCCAAGCGAGGGAGAACGGGGGCATCATTTGGCCTCAGGTACCAAAATGTTGTGGGCTGGCCCTGGTGTGACTCCATAACCCCCCACCATGCACAGCTCGACCAGTGGAGCCTGTAGTGTAGACAAGTGGTCTCAGGTGTTTTGACTACTCTTATTTTCTAACTTTTTCTATGCTGCAGCCTTAACGAGAGCAGCTGGATTCAGGAATTACGGGTCTGAAAGTCCACATGAAGTCATACCTCTGCAGAAGAGAACTGTACCAGAACTTGGACAGTTTCCATTGTTGTAGGCAGTGTAGAGGTAGCCGGGTTGGCCCCAGGGTATTAAGGAGACAATTTCTGTTGGTGAGACAGACAAGCTTTGGTGCTAGAGCTCTTCTTCAGGTACCACTGTCACAGCTAAGTGAAAGGCGAGACAGACTGTTTAGCATAAGTAGTTAGTATCTATACACAAGCGTTCTCTGGATGTGTCTAGACTACAGGGTTTTTTTGAAAAAAGTTGCCTTTTTTCGAAAAAACTTCCCCTGCGTCTAGACTGCTTCTGTGTTCTTTCGAAAGTAAATCGAAAGAACGCCACAGTTTTTTTGACCGCGGAAAACCTCATTTTATGAAGAATAATGCCTTTTTTCAAAAGTGCTCTTTTGAAAAAAGGCGCTATGTAATGCAAACTGTGCTTTGTCGAAAGAGAGCTTCCAGTCTGCCTGGGTGCTGTCTTTAGAAAAAGCGGCTGGCTTCTTTTTCGAAAGTACTGGTTGCAGTCCAGATGCTCTTTCAAAAGAGGCTTGCAGTCCAAATGTACCCTCTCTTGAACATGCGCTAACTAATTACAGGACACAATCTGTTCCATCATCTAGTTAGCTGGGATGCTCAGAGATCCTTTCCCAGCTTTGAGGAAGAGCTCTGTGTAAGCCTGGCTCTCTCACCAACACAAGCTGCTCCAATAAGAGATACTCTTGCTCCCACCTTGTCGCTAATAACCTGTTCTCAGAAGAAAAATCTCCATTCATCCATGTCAGGGAGTCAGTGGGAGAACTCCTCTCTATCTGGTTTTGGCTGGAGTGGGGCAGAACCCATCAGAGGTGGGCCCGCCCACTTTGGATCTGCCTCCCCCATGTTGACAGAAATGTGGTTCTTTCTCATCTCCTTTCTGCTGGTGTTTGAAAATGGCTGCACTGCTATTGCAGAGAGCAGGTTAGAGAGCACAGGTGTGTCCCATCTAGGATACCAGCTAAGCCATTTTCAGTAGCATGGGGGGCACCCATTCTTGAGAAACTGTGCTAGCAAGTAATCCTCTTCCTGGGACAGTGAAGTGTTGGCCTGAGCTAATGCCTGCTGAAATCTGTGGAAATACACCCAGGCATGGAAACCTAAGCCCTGTCAGTAGTTCTATGCGGGGAGCACTCAGAAACCCTCAGGCCCATCCCAATGTCTACATTCTGCCACTCCCAAGGCAAAAAGTCAATTCCCAAGACAGTACCAAGCAGAACAGTCCTGTGCAAGGCAAGACACAAAGAACCACCTGAGTATTTCTTCAAAAAACAAATGACAGAATCCCGGATACAATTTTTTTTGTCATTTTTTTTCATCTGTTTTGGAAAAAAATATACAAAAAAGCCAAGAAGAACAAACTTGGAAGAGTCAGGTAAACATTCCATTGACAGTACAGAGAAAGGCTCCATTCCTTCAGTGGGACATACATCAGTTATCACCATGCTAGAAAAATGAGAGGCAGGAAAACCCTAGGAACACATAATAGCTACAAAGTGAAACCACTGCTCTGTTGTACATTGGCTCCCCTTCGTTTATTTTTAACAATACTGTGCAAAGAGCAGGTTTGTACGCTATGGTTTACAAAAAATGCAGACTCTGCTATGATAGATGATGCTAGTTACTCTTACGGCTCCTTGGAGTCCCTGAATGACTATAGCATGCCAGACTCCCTGGAGATTATCAGGCTAAACTGACTTCTTGGTCTCCTCAGGCTGGATCCCAAATAACTCCATTGACTTTAGCCCATTTGCTTTTCCTTTGCGCCCATGTAACTAAGAAGGACAGAGACTGAGTGTAAGGTTCAGGTGAGGATACCAGAATGCCATTATGAAACATGGACACTCCCACGTAAGAATAATACTGTGCAAATCCACAGTAATGGCCGCAAGCCACTCTGGTCTGCCCTTAAATATGCACCTCTGACTTAAAGCAGGAGGCACTGGTGGTGGAATTGGGCCCTGCTATTGTCAACTGGGCTACCCTTGGGCCACCCTTGCGGAATGTTCTAGTGTTTTTTCAAGTCACCAGCTTATTCCCACAAAAATCAGTTAAAAACAGACCCAATTATTGTAATGAGGAATCCTGTGGCAGCTTAGGGTACATCTGCACTGCAGAGAAGATCAAAGCTGCTGCTGTCGATCTTCCAGGGCTCGAATTAGTAGGTCCAGAGAAGACAGCTAATTCAAAGTGAGGAGGTGCTCCGGTCGATGCCAGTAGTCCTTCTTTCATGAGGAGCAAGGGAAGTCGAAGGGAGAGTGTTCTCCCTTCGACTCCCTGCAGTGTGGACCGTGCCAAAAGTTGAGTGAAGATACTTTGACTTCAGCTAATTAACGCAGCTGAAGTTGCGTATCTTCATTTGATCTTATCCCATAGTGTAGACGTGCCCTTAAAGACTAACAGATTGATTTAGGCACAAGCTTTCGTGAGCAAAACCCCACTTTGTCAGAGGCATGGCCATCTGTTGGTGAGACAGACATGGCCATGCATCTGAGAAGAGGGGTTTTGCCCAGGATAGTTTGTGCCCAAATCAATTGGTTAGTCTTTATGGTGCCACAGGACTCCCCACTGTTTTTTCAGATACAGACTAAGACAGCTGCCCATCCGATACTTCTTATTTTAGTTATTCTCTAAAACCTAGCACAATCTTCCTCCTGCCCCAGCTCGATCAGGCTCTGATTCTGCAAGATTCTTAAACATTTTCCTAACTTTAAGCACGAGTTGTCCCATCACTTGCAATGGGACTATTCCCAGACCTAAAGATAGGCACATGCTTCTGTAACTGGTTGGATTAGAGCCTGAACTCCTTGTTGTCAGCACCGTTTGGACTACACTCCTGATCGCCGCGAAATCTGAAATATCTGCAGTGACTACAGATTTACAGTAAAGGTCCCGAGATCAGAATCTGTCCCGTTGTCAGAAGTGCTTCCTATGATAACAAAAAGGTAAAAGTGAATTATTATAATTATTTTATTTCAATGTATATAAAACAAAAAAAGTCTGTGTACAAATATCACGTAACAACATCAACAATTCCATAGATGTGGTTTCTCAGTGCACACTTTAAAATGAGAAAAGAGGTTGGGTTCTTTTTTTGTTTGTTTTTGATTTTGTTTAAATTCTGGCATAAATATATTAAAGCTGACAAAAAATCAGGGCAAGCTACGTCACTTCCTCATACAAAAAAATGTACAAAACATCAGCCTCTAACTAGACATAACATAATACTGGTCGTCACAGTTGGACATTTAGTAACTGTGTGTCTTGGAGCATTGGACTGAAGGTTAATAAAAAATAGCTTCTCTTGCCATCTTCCAGCTCAGGTTACTTCAGTCATAGAGGCAGAGTGATTCTGCAGAGAGGAAAATGCAAACATGTGAAGGTTTTCAATACATTTTTATTAGGGTGAACAGACACTTAATAGGGAGGGGAAGACTCTATATACGGATGCATCAGGAAGTATCCCCCCCCACAATCATTAATCACTCCAGGTTCTGCCCAGTGCTAGTATTCTCAGATGAAGCATGTAAAAATTAAAAGATCACGAGAAAGGCATCGTTGCTGAATCTTAACCCAGGACAAGATTTCCAGAAGGGACTAGTGATTTTTGGGGTGGGGGGGGGAGGGCTCAATTTTTGGGTGCCTAACTTCAGACATCTTAAAGGAGACTAGTTCTCAGAAAGCATTGAGCACAGACACTTTCTCCCTTCCTCAAAAAATGAGCCTCCAAATTGGGTTGTGCAGAATTGTGGCTCATGAGAATCTTCCTCATTTGGGATCTCGGGGGACTTCCCAAGGAGAGTACGCCCCCTTCCTTATAGGCTGGCCTGAGCTCTTGCGATGGACAGGTGCCAGTGTAGCGACAAAGGAGCGTGATTGAAGATGCGCTATACGTAAATGTTGTCTAACTGCTCTGTCCTCAGGTTCGCAGAGCTCTGCAGAAAATGGGCCAGGCCGTCTGTAGGAGGGGAAATGGATAAAAGGAGATTTGTTGGGTCTTGCTCAGCTTGACGATGCTGTAGTGCTGGCGAATTCATGACCGGAGGCCATTTGTAGGGCCAGTCCATAACTCTGGTACTTGAGAGGTGCAAAGGAAAATGTAGTGGAGTCACCTGCAGGAACCTGGGCAGTTGGGGAATAGGTCATAGAATCCTAGGGCTGGAAGGGACCTCAGGAGGCATTGAGTCCAGCCCCTGGGTCACCACTCTCATGATCAACCACAGTGTAAACACCCACTATGCCTCCGCTTCCCTCCCACCCCCTGGACTACGTTGTGCATTTTACAGCTTGAGCCACAGCTCAATGAAGTAAATGGAAACATTCTCATTGGCTTCACTGGTCTTTAGATCAGGTTTTTGTCTGGTTTTATTGTGGGGGAGGGGGGTGCAATCCTTACACTCAGAAGGAAGACTTTGGCTTCCTTTGTTTATGCCCTGTGACGGGGTGGCCCCGCCCCGCACTGAAGCCCAGGGCAACCACCTGGCGCCGGGGGCGGAGAGGGCCCCACCCACACAGCCCTACTGGGCATGCTCCCAGGGGAGCCAAGGTACAAAAGGCTGCAGGCCTGCTCAGAAGGGGCAGACCGCGGCCAGAGCTGGAGCTAGCGCCCAACCGCCCAAGTCGCAGACCGGACCGCCAGCGCTAACTGGGGAATTATGCCCCGGATGGGGGTGGCAACCCCAAACGAGAGGGGAGCCCCCCGACATGCCCCATATGTTAAAAAGATATTTATATGTGTCTGAAAAGATAAGGCACTAATGTTTCCATATATTCTATGAGTATGCTTCCCAACTTGGTCCTTCTGCATGTGTGTGTGTGTGTGTGTGTGTGTGTGTGTGTGTGTAACTGGGGAATTATGCCCCGGATGGGGGTGGCAACCCCAAACGAGAGGGGAGCCCCCCGACATGCCCCATATGTTAAAAAGATATTTATATGTGTCTGAAAAGATAAGGCACTAATGTTTCCATATATTCTATGAGTATGCTTCCCAACTTGGTCCTTCTGCATGTGTGTGTGTGTGTGTGTGTGTGTGTGTGTGTGTGTGTGTGTGTGTGTGTGTGTGTGTCCATTCATACTAGTCACAAATTTGTGTGTGTCTCCATTCATACTAGTCACAAATTTTCCATCCAATCTTCTTCAATGGAAAATTGGAGTTTTGACTTAAAAATTTCCTGGAAAGTGTCCCCTCATCCCTTCCTAAAACATTTGTTTCCCCCCCCCCATTGGAGAACCAAAACCCCCACACCAAACATTTTTGGTTTTCAATATTTTGCCAAAGTCAAAATTTTCCAGAGAAAAATCTGTTTGCTGGCCAGCTGTAATGCCTACACCTAATATAATTTCTTCAGAGTGCAGTGCCATTCTCTTAAGTGCTCACGTTACTTGAACAGAAACGATATTCGTTGGGCACAACAGGTTATTTTGAAGCAAAAACCTGTTACGTTAAGCAGCCTGGGAAAAGTTTATTAATAAATTGCAGTGTCTTCATTTTCCCAGTAATTACTGGGGGGTCAAAGTCAGCTTGGTCACATCGTACAAGCAGTGCAGGTGAAAAGGGTATGCTCGCCTGGGGTTACTCAGCTGCAAACAAGCAGGAAGTTTCTTTTTTTCTCCTGAGAGAACCGTTTGCTTGTTATTATCAGGAAAGATGCTACGCATCCAACAAAGAGGAGTTGCGAGAGCTCGGGATCAGTCCCAGAATTAGGACCATTGTACAACATATCTGAATCTGTGCTCTGGATTACGTACGT